CATTAATTTATATCAGGTAACTATTAATTTATATTTCAGGTAACCTTAAAAATAAAAATTCTATCACGTTGTACGTCTTTGCTACAACGATCACGTTCATCATTCAGACATCCTGGCATAACAAATAAAAAATAATTATTGTTTACATAACGCGAATTAAGGAACAGTTTTGATTACAGCTATGAGCTCGCAAACATTATCGATGGTATAATGAAAATATGAGAAAAATATGAGACAAAACCAAAGAGATTATAGTTCAGTTTAAAGCAATGGCTTTCACAAAATCAATGATAAAATTCCATTTTTTCAAATGTCTTTGCATTCAAAATATAATTAAAAGTCGAAAATTAGGCTTGGTAATTTGAATTCATTTAGCTTTATGTTGATTGTCATATTTTTAGAGTTTACAGTTTACACGCAAATCTGTATACAGGCACAAAAATACATACACAAATTCCTTATTTTATTATATGTATAGATAACTTGATTAATTGCCTATTTTAGAAAATAAGAACAATAATTTTAATATACTTCAACATTGGAGGAGAAAATTAAATTGCTATCAATTCTATTGATATGTTTCTAGTTTATTAACTTTAATTCCAACGAATGTAGCTTTTAATATTTTTTTTATTGAAAATTGAGTTTTCCCTTAGGAAGTTCTTCGAATGAAATTATTGTCCATTTACATAGCTCTTTAACTCAATACAAAACATAATTGTTTGGATCAAGGGATTCTCTTTACTAAATTAAAATTATCTACCATTAACGAAAACTCTCTGGTGTTTTGAAACAAATAGCGAATTAGCTGTTAATCAAAATAGCATTTTTATTTATTGGGGATTCTGTTTAAGCCATAAAATATGCCTGGCTCAATTATAGTAAATGCTAATGTGCAGTAAAGTAACATGGTTAGAATCGTGAAACACAGCGGAATTAAACTGTAACATAAGAAAAAGTTGAAGCAAGTCCTTTGTAATAGAGGAAAGTTGCCTATACCATGCCATCTTTTCATATTTAAATTTTTATGACTTAATTTTTGACAATTACACTTGAAAAACTTTAACAAAGAATACAGTTATTTAGCTATATACACATACATACAAATTAAATGAGGAAGAGGAAGATTCAAAAGGGGAAACATCCTACAATCACACTATAAATAAACCCGAGCTAACAACACCTCAAGAAATAGAAATAGAATCACCAAACGAATCAAAGACTATTTTTCTTAATAGTCTTTGATTCGTAGTTTTCTTAATAGTCTTAAAAAAAAAACATCTTGATTTTTGGCTCAGATCAGATATTACTTATTTATGTAATATAAGATTTCACTTAAATTCTGTAACTTAACATTTCGGTATGAATAAAAAGATTCAAAATTCTCCTACAAATAATTTTAATTAAATATTGTTTCAGTTATTAAATTACGCATTTCATTAATATTTTCAAATGTGGATAAAATAATTCACTAATGTATGATTGAAGTTCGCTTCATGTTGAGTTTAAATACAGAGATGGTCAAACCACATCGCATCTGTGGCGCAACAGTCAGTTTTGATCACAAAAGAAGCTGCTGTTTTTCTCTATGTTTTATTAACTTTTTTTCTTTCTTNAATCAGTTGCCTACAGTCACAATACCAATAGCTATGAACTAACATCATCCCAAGAAATAGTAATGGAAAGTGTTAAGGACGTAAACAAAACGTCAAGTGACAACCTTAATAGTTCCACCGATATTCTATCAGAACCAGGCATTGATTGGAAAGAGATAAGAGAGAGCTTTTTCAAGTTAATTTCCAGTAATAGAACTTTATATGAGGAAGAGGAAGATACAAAAGGAGAAACGTCCTACAATCACACTCTAAATAAACCTGAGCTAACAACACCTCAAGAAATAGAAATCGAATCACCAAACGAATCAAAGACTAACTTTCTGAATAGTCCCACAATTCAAACGGAAACATTCCATAGAATACCCAATAGTTCCATTTATAACGATGCAATATACAGAGACTTTGGATCTGCCGAAAATCTTAGCTTCTGCTTCGAGACTGTTGCCAAAGCTCGACAGGTTGATGCGGAATTTAAAAAAAAGAAAAGTTTTGAGAAGTGACATGAGTTTTAGAGAAAGTAACAACATGTTCGGTGGGACAAACACCAGGTTTGGAGAAAGAAACACCAGGTTTGGAGGGAGAAACACCAGGTTTGGATAAAGGAACTACAGTTTAGGAGAACAAAACATTCAAAGCAGAATTGATTGATGACGTTATGAAAGATATCGAAAGTTTTAAGTTTTGGTCGCTAAAGCGAAGTGAAAGACAGAGAAAGATATATGAAGAAAATTTGCTCAGTGCACTCAATGGTAAAAAAAACCATAACATGAAAAAACTGCAAAAAAGAAGTTGGAAAAATAATGGTCCCTTATGTTGAAAACTGTCTTGCGTCTCTAGAAAAAAAAAAAGAAAATAAGAGTTAAAATTTGAAAAAAACTTTAAAAAACAAGACAACAAATAATACAGAAAAAAGGCATCTTGATTTTTGGCTCAGATCAGATACTACTTATTTATGTAATATAAGATTTCATTTAAATTCTGTAACTTAACATTTCGATATGAATAAAAAGATTCAAAATTCTCCTACGAATAATTTTAAATAAATATTGTTTCAGTTATTAAATTACGCATTACCAGGGGCGGATCTACTTAAGGACTTTTTGGGCTGCAGCCCAGGGCCCCGTGGATACAAAGGGCCCCAGTCCCCACTGAAAACAATAGGTTATATTTTGAATTGAAAAAAATATCTAATGTTAAAAAAAAACTATTATAAGGTTGGCAACTCTGAGATCAATCAACCCATGCATGTGCGCGTCTATCGAACGGAGCGGGGAATTCCCTGTCGATTGTTTTTGGTCAGTGTGTTTTTTCGCGTCTATTTACGGGGGACTTCCCGCCGCGTCGCTTAACGCCCAACGTAATTTTGTTTTTTTCCCCCGCACTTCTGTTCTCGTCGTCAAAGTGACAAACTTGTTTAGTTTACTAATAAATGATAACTTAAAAGTTATAAAGACCGGACCTTTCTCTTATTTTACTTATAATTGAAAGTACGTAATCAGAATAAGAAAGGATTTCCTGCTCTTAGTTGTTAAGTAAAAAGAATTATAAATCATGTTATTTTTGCTTTTAATGTATCTTTTCAATGCTAAATGAACTTTTTAATCGATTTTTAATGATAATTTGTGAATTACTGCACTCATTACAAAGCATTAAAATGTGGCGTGAAGAACTATATTACATCGATTTTCTCGTTCCCTGTTTATTACCAGAAAATTATCAAGTTCATTGTTTGTTTTCAGAAAAATATCAAAGTCTTATTTTACAATATGCCTGGTAGAAAATATAAAAGTGGAGCTGAGAAACGGAAATTACAGCTAGATCGAGGAAAAGAAAGAAAGAAATGTGCAAAAATTGAAACTTTTTTCAACTTAGAACATAAAAACGAGAATGAAATAGCTACAAAGTTATTAACAAGCGAAAAGGAAGGGATCTTATCCGAAGAGAATCTATTTGAAGGGAGCAGAAAATCGCAACACCAGGAAAAAAATACAAGTGATGAAAGTGGGCAAAGTCTTGACTAGCAGCAACCCTCCGATCCCACTTAAAACTATATTGGTGTTCAGCAAGAGGACGGTAATACCGAAGCGGAAAGAAATTTAGAGAATATGAAGTTTGAGTTTGTTGTTATATTATGATATGTTGACGTGGGCTTGCCGCCAGAATTGCTAAATAATGATTTTATTAATGACATCCTCTCACACGAAATGACTGACTTTCAAAATAAAATAAAGATCCGAAAAACATAGATTCAGCTTCAATAAAGAAATACAAAGAACAAAACAGAACATTTTCAAATAGGTATTTCATTAAGAAAATGAAAAATGGTCAATCGCCGGAAAGATCTTGGTTATGTTATTCAACCGGGGATGGTACTGTTCTTTGTTTGACTTGCAAACTTTTTCCTGAAATCCCTTCTCAATACACAACCGGATTTTCTGATTGGAAACACATAGGAACTTGTTTAGAAAATCATGAAAATTCTAATGAACATAAGAAATCAATGTTAGTGTGGTTGACACGTGAAGGCAAAAAGTTAATTGTGTCATTAAAAGACTTCGTGAACAACATAAGGCACCAATCAGATCAGAAGCTAAAGGAATACGAAGAGAAAGCTAAAAAATTAAGTACTAGTGTGGGAATAGACAACAATGACATAAACAAGAGACGCATTACTCCAAAATTTTCGGATAAGTCTACAGATAAATTCTNGTCTTGACTACCAGAAACCCTCTGATCCCACTGAAAACTATATTGGTGTTCAGCAAGAGGACGGTAATAACGAGGCGGAAAGAAATTTAGAGAATATTAAGTTTGAGTTTGAGAAATATGTTGACGTGGGCTTGCGGCCAGAATTGCTAAATAATGATTTTATTAATAACATCCTCTCACACGAAATGACTGACTTTCAAAATAAAGAAAGATCCGAAAAACATAGATTCAGCTTCAATAAAGAAATACAAAGAACAAAACAGAAAATTTTCAAATAGGTATTTCATTAAGAAAATGAAAAATGGTCAATCACTGGAAAGATCTTGGTTATGTTATTCAATCGGGGTTGGTACTGTTTTTTGTTTGACTTGCAAACTTTTTTCTAAAATCCCTTCTCAATACACAATCCGATTTTCTGATTGGAAACACATAGGAACTTGTTTAGAAAATCATGAAAATTCTAATAAACATAAGAAATCAATGTTAGTGAGGTTGACACGAAAAGAAAATAGATCTGTTTTAGACAAGCAGAGTCAGAAGCAATAAAGAAAAGAAACAGAATATTATCACAATGTCCTAAAACTGGTGATTGCCGTGGTTAAATTTTTAAGTATAAGGGGCTTAGCATTTAGAGGTTTCGAGGAAGTATTTGGTTCTCCACATAATGGTAATTTTATGGCTGCTCTGGAGCTATTGGCAGAGTTCGATCCATTCATTCTTGAACACATTGAGCAACGAGAGCTGCGACCAAAACCGATAATATCGTACTTATCAAAAACAGTATATGAGGAAATAATTGAGATTATGGGCCGACAGATAATTAAACAAATTACAACTCAAATAAATAACGACGACACAAAGTATTATTCAATTGTGATGGATTCTACTCCAAATCTATTTCACAATGATCAACTTGCTATTGTATTACGATACTGTTTTCGGGGGAAAGTGTATGAAGGATGTGTATCCTTCATTAAAATTAGTAGTCATACTGACTTACATTTATTTAATATTCTACAAGACTTTTTAGAAACAAATGGACTACTACTGGATAATTGTAGGGGACAATCTTATGACAACGCTGCTATGGCGGATCACTACAACGGTGTACAAGCACTACTAAAACAAAATAATAAATCCGCGGATTATGTACCATGTGCTGCGCATTCCCTTAAACTAGTTGGTGAAGAATATGTTAAGGTTGTAACCAAAATTGTGAACTTTTTTGGAGTAGTGCAAAAAATATACGTTTTCTTTTCTACTTCGACCTATAGGTGGGAACTGTTAAATCGTGAAACAAAACTCAAATTTACATTAAAAGGTTTAAGCCAGACCAGATGGTCTTGTCACTATGATGCTGTCAAAGCTTTGAGAAATAATTATGATGACATTATGAAAATTTTCGAAAGTTTCATCGAAAATGAGGATGAGAAAGTTGATTTCCGAAAAGAGGCAGAAATTTATTCAATAAAATGGCGAAACTCGATACTACAATTTTGATTATTTTTTGGGAAGAAATTTGGGGGAGATTTAATTTAGTTAATAAAAAAATACAGAGCTCTGGTTCAGATACTTGTGAAGGCAACAAGTTAATTGTGTCATTAAAAGACTTCGTGAACAACATAAGGCACCAATCAGATCAGAAGCTAAAGGAATACGAAGATAAAGCTAAAAGATTAAGTACTAGTGTGGGAATAGACTACAATGACATAAACAAGAGACGCATTACTCCAAAATTTTCAGATAAGTCTACTGATAAATTCTCAGTATACGGCGCAGAAAAATTTAAAAGAGACACGCTAAACGTTGCGTTGGATAAGCTGATTACGGATTTAAATAAAAAGAGCCAAGTCTATGAGATGTATAGCAAGAAATTCAAATTTTTAATGGATTTGCAAGACAAAAATATGGAAATCATAGATCTGGAAAGTGTACGTAATATTGTTGATTATTATCCAAATGACGTAGAAGAGCATTTAAAGAATGAGTGCATTCAGTTAAAATTTTATTTACTTCAGTCTAAGCCAGAGTCTTACACCTCTTGCAGTGAAATTTTTATGCTTATTTATGAAAAGAAACTTGTTGATGTTTTCCCAAATTGCTATACTATCTTAAAGATTTTTTTAACTTTGCCAATCACTAGCTGTGAAGTGGAGCGTTCTTTCTCCAGGTTGTCATATATAGAAAACAAATATAGGACAACAATGTCGAACCATCGACTAAATCATTTATCAGCTCTTTCCATAAATTGTGATTTGACAAAGGACTTACAATGTGATGAGCAAATAAAGGAATTTGCAGCACAAAAATGCAGAAAGGTTGCTTTATAATTTATGTAACATAACTGCACATAACCTGTCACTTTCTTTTGCAATAAAGTTGCTGTTTGTATGCACAAATGAAAAAAAAATTAAATAAATAAAATTATTTTATTGTCCTATTTTTTTCTATATACTTATCTACATCACTATAGAAAACAGTTTTTTGACAAAATATCTATTAGGGCCCCTAAGTAGTTTCAGCCCAGGGCCCCACAAATTCACGATCCGCCCATGCGCATTACATTAATATTTTCAAATGTGGATAAAATAATTCACTAATGTATGATTGAAGTTCGCTTCATGTTGAGTTTAAATACAGAGATGGTCAAACCACATCGCATCTGTGGCGCAACAGTCAGTTTTGATCACAAAAGAAGCTGCTGTTTTTCTCTATGTTTTATTAACTTTTTTTCTTTCTTTTTCTGTATTAATGCTTAACAATAATTTTACCAATCAAGAACATTGCGCAAAAATGTAGTTAGGGAATTTTATTAAGAAAGTAGTAGATAAATATTTACATTAGACAATGAAAAATAAAATGGTAGCAAAATACATACAACTCAATCTTATATTCTTTTGTAGGGATTTTATATCGTATTTATGATTGTTAAAATGAGATACTTTGCTCGTAATTTCATTAACAAATCGTAACCGATTTTTTTCTAATCTTTCATTTTGTGGACTACTACCATCACGCAACAATCCCTTCTCATCTTAAATCTCTTTATTTTATCCTTTATATCTTAATTTTGTTTCGTAATCAATTCCTAAAAAAACAGAAACAAAATTAATAAAATAACAGCTTACAGAAATTGTAATAGCCGTAACTAACAAATAACTAAAAAATATGCTGTTACACTATATAAAGCTGTAAACTATAATGGCTATGAATTCTCTGTAAATTCTACCGACATTAAAAAATAGTCTTTCATAAGCAGAAGTTTAAAATACACAAAAAAAAAAATTTCTCAAGAAAACTTCATACACAAAAAAATTCATCTTATGCCCTACTTTTGCTCGGGCCAGTTCCATATGTGGTGAAAAAGAAAACTAAAACAGAAAAAAAAATTTGAAAATAAATTTTTCTAATTAGACTAAAAAGGAGAAAAGCAATAGAGAGATTTCGCAAAGCGTTGCGGTTTACCTTAACCCTAACGTTTTCGATATTTGATTTTGACAGCGCATAAGCGATAATTCGTTAAAGGGTATTAGTCCCTGAGTATCGTTAAGGGGCGTGTAGACCTCTTAGAATAAGAACGGGTGGTATTGGCTCTTTTTATTCATTCATGGAGAATTCAAGGTGTTTCATGTTCATTAAAGGTAACATTAAAAAAACGGGAGTTGAATTATTTCGTTTAGACTCGATCATATTGCTAATGAAAAATTTTTCGCTTTGAGAGAGCAACAATAGAATAATTTTCTTGGGTTAAAAAATATGACACAAACTTTTGGTGATTACACTAGATGGAACAAAATGCAATGTGTACACTAAGTTTCTAATTTGCATTAAGATAACATTGCGTTTCATTTTGAAATGGAAAACACTAGTATGTTTTTCAGTCATTATAATCGAAGGGTCGAAGTAAAGGAGGTCGCACTAAAGAGAGTATATATATCATCTTATGTGGAAAAAATTGATTTAGCCCTACTCTCCTAGAAAATTTAGTTCAATGATAAGCCAAAATATAGGTGCCTTGAACTCTAATACGGTACAAATTTTATGAAAATTTAAAATGGTTTTAAGAGAACGGTATACCACGAGAGAAAACTTTTATGGCAAATTTGGTTTTACCTCTATTGATATATGAAGATCTGAATTTTAGAAAAAAGTGAGTTCAGGTGAGAAAATTACAATTGCTAAAAAAATGTTTTCAAATTATCAAAATACTAACAAATTATTGCAGGTTTATTTTCCCGTTGCTTAATTATGAGTAGTTCTGGCAGAATAATTGAGTAATTCTGCTTGCAGTTTGAAATTTTTTTTCAGAATTGGGAGCTTCACGTGTTATTGTTGGTTATTCTGGAGTTAATTTTTCTATATTTTTAGTTTTAAATTACTTATGCTAGTGAAGGAGAATTAATTTGCCATAAAGAGTATCTTTCGCTCTATAGCATCCTTGAGATAACGCAAAATTTGATATCCCTTTAACGCAGTATTTTTACGAAATATATTTTTCATACTTATTTTATTGAAAGTGAAACGTATTATCTTCTGCATTTAATAATTTATTGCTTTTTAATAATTTATGATTATGAAATACAACATTAGACACTAGTGTTTTTTTCCCCATTAAAGGTAAAATTTTCCAAGCTCTTTTTCAAATTTGCAGTTTTGTAGATTTAAGAGAAACAGTTAGTCATCATTGAATTTTTTTTTAATTTACATCTTTTTTTCAAACTACATTCTTTGAATTTTATATTTTAGTACTAATACAATTCCGATAATCTAACAGATTTCTTTAGTAACTATTAGACTACGTTTTATAATTTAAAGATACCAAAATATATTTTTAATTGCCATTATCACGTCAGAAAAAATATATAAAAAGTACATCGGTGTCCCATTTGCGTAAAAAAGTTAAATTGAGCAACGTTCAAGTGTAACTGTAGTGTCATGAAAACTAAATTAGGAGGCACTATAAGTTTATTCAGCACCATATTTGGATGGCAGATATTAAAGATATTTTGGTTCAACATGCTTTAAAATTTCTAATAGTTCACGTTAGTGACTAATATAGTGTGAAATCAATAATAGTGTAGAATCATAAAATTTCTTAACTTAAATCATATCACTGCTTTATTTCCCATAAATTCTATAAAATATTTACAATTAACTGCAATTAAGTTACTTTTTAGTGATTCTTATTAGTTAGAATTTTTTTTTGCCAGCTTTTCTCAACTTTGGCGAAATGACGTCTCTTTCGAGATCTGTTTGGCGCGAAAAGACTTACCTCTGACATTAAAACTTATCGATTGTCTTTCAGAAAGCGACGCACTAGCCAGGAATGATGTAGGATTCCGAAAAATTTCTCTCTTTCTTCAGAACTGCGATGGGAAATGAAAAATTTTTGCCAATCTGGTTAGATAGAAAAGTTTTCGAATAGAATCCTTACATTGAAACAGGTAAATATCTTTTAATATTTTGTCCTTTGGATATTATCGAATTAATGGCAGCTATAACATGTGAAGCTGTTACGTAATATCATAGGTTTCAGCCTGTTGTCATCCTTACATAATTTGATTAACGATTATGAAATAAATAATTTAATTACTTCCATGAAACTCTTTTATCACTTAAAACTTATTTATGCACGGATAGTAAGACAATAACTTATAAATTTTGATTTTAAGTTAATTTTATTTCGTGCATTTTAATAAATGATGTTCTTGTTAAAGGTCGACCAATTAAGTAAGCATGTCCTAATATATATAGGTCATGGGCAAATATGAAAATTAAGGTTTTTTCAATCTGCAACATCACTTATGCAATAGGCTAACAAACAATTAACCTATAGAATGCCGTCAAGAGTCTGTTTAGAACCCGAATTTTACAATTAGCCTATGACATAGCCCGGGATAGCCTGGGCCCATGTCCAATCCCCGCCTGCCGAAGATTATTAAATTAAATGGTCTATTAAATGGTGACTGCTCCACGTTAAATATGTCAAGTCGCAAAGTCCTCCGTGTTCCCATAACTAATAAATACCTCTGGGGGTACTGATCCAGGAGTTTCCTTGTCTTCAGGATTGGTTCAAAAATTACAAGGCTACGGAATTGAACATTAGTAGTCGTAAACCCAAAATTGGGTTGGCTGTTCAACGACGGTTATAAAAAAATAAATTGGCCTATGACATATAACATAAAAGAAAAGAAAGGATTTGTAAGAGAAAAAGAAAATAATTATTCAAAATTAAAAGGGAAACAATTATTAAAAATTAAAAGGAAAATTAAAATAAAAAAGCTTAATAATGAAAAGATATCAACAGCTTAAATAATATTAAGTTTGTAATTGAATACTGGAGAAGGTAGTTATAAAATTTTAGCCATGGATTTTCCCGAATTGGATTGGCATATTGCAAAAATATAAATCAAGATAACTAAAATATTTTTTTATGTAAATGTATTATTGAAATTAATATTATGAAATAATGAATATCATTCAATAAATATTAATAATTTTTATAAGAAATCATCGAATTGAAATTTAATAAAGTTTTGACCCTTAACCAATGAATTATCCAGTATAATATACTATTACCTTGAGCAAATCCAATAATCGGGCCAATCCAAGGAAAGAGATGAATCGAAAGCGGTTATTTACTTCAATTTGATCTCGGATTAAAATTAGATCATATGTACTACAATTTAATAAATAGTGATTTAAAAAAATTAATGACTTAAAAATAAGACTCACTACAGCTTAGCTTTAAATTTTCTTTTCCTTTATTAACGTTGCATTCTAGTTGCACACGAAAATAAACTGCATATTAATTTGTAACTGTTCGATATAAAACTTAACATTCAAAATTAAAAGAACAGAATGATCATATTAAAATTAAATTTTTGATTTTTGCATTTTGTACTTTTGTAATCTTTAGTCTCGTGTTCATTTTTTTTTAAATTTCTATACAGAAGCTGAAAAAATACTAGTAAAAAAAGTTGTAAATTTAAATTAAAATCAAATTTAATCCGTAGTTAAATGCTATGTATTATTCATTCTTTTTTCAGTTTTCATATAAAGAGGATAAAAACAACTATAAAAATAAAATATTATTAAAAATGACCTTAAATGACATAAGAATGTCCTTAAATGAGATAAAAATGACCTTAAATAAGATAAAAATGACTTAATTATATGCATTTTTTGCAATAGTTAGAGTTTTTAAATAGTGCAAATAAATAATAAAAAAACAGCTTTCTTTAAAAAAATTATTGGTTTCATTGAGAGTTATTTTGATGAGTGGACGTCTACTTCAAATAGACACTTTTAAGTGATGATATTTTGTTGGGCGATTTGATAATTGGTGCTGTTATTGTTAAATATAAAATATTGAGAGTTCGCAGCATTGAGACGACTTTTCAAACCAGTGCAATTTTATGAAAATTATAAATTATATGGTGTCAATTTGATCACAAGTTGACTCCATAATTTTCGATAAAATTGAACATTTATTGCAAAATATCGATGCATCATGACAATGAGATGGATATAAATAACTCTTTACTAATTTACCCTTTTCTTAAAGTATTTTTAATATGTTGTAAACAATTATTTTGACAATTTCTCTTATGATATTTTCTTTACATCTGAAGGTTTTTTTCTTAAAAATAATCCTTGCAATTACGCTCAGAAAAAATAATGAATACAGAAAGATATTTTTTTCAAGAGTATTACAAAGAAAAATATAATACAATAAGTACTTTTATGTACGCAAAACTACAAATATCGAGATTTCAGAACATCATCTGTGTTGGATTCAGTAATGTTAGCAGTGTCGTCATACTGATCCCACTCTGCAATCTATTCTACTTTATACTCATTTGCAGAGTCCCCCCCCCCAAAAAAAAATCCTCTTCACCCTCATTCAAAGAATTTGAAATTCCACCCTTTTTAAAAGATTTTACAATAAAATTCGAACCCATCTTTCGCTAAACGTCAAGTATCATTTGACACATTACGTCTATAGGAATAATAATCGACTTACTGACAGTGGTTGATTTATACACCCGACATACCAGAAACTTCCTATCTCATAATCAAAAATAAGGAATTTATTTATGCAATGGGTCGCTCAATGAAATATGTGGTAAATATTCAGAATAATAGTTTTTGTGACTGATACCAACAATATATGAGAGCAACGAAATTTTTGAACTATTTTATCAAAATTCTCTTTTAATTTTAATCAAGTTTCTCCAGAGATTCATTTAGGGGAGAGTCGGGTAGCCCCGCCCACTTAAGGAGTAATGCTTATATTGCTGTATAATATTAAGTAATAATCAATATTTTTGTATGTTTCTATTGTTTTATCATCTAATTAAATAATGCAAAAAGAATAAACCAAGAGAAGAATAGTTCAACTTAAAAAAATAGAAATTTAAAAAAACATGTTTTTCAGCTCTTTTCAAAATGTGTCGGGTAGCCCCACCCAGATGCAAAAATGATGTTTTTCGACTGTTTTTTCAGGTGTAAATGAAAATGACTAATGTATTGACAATAGATAAACCTCATTTATCATTTTTATCACAAAATTCAACCGATTTTTCTTAATTTCATGACTACTGTATTCAACATATTTTCAAAACTATTGTTTACCATGTTACCAGTTGCATAAATACTTGAAACCTTGAAAATAATCTCTTTTCAATATAACAACTAGCGTCCGATGGCCGATTGACTTGAAAAAATATTCTATACATAGGAAATTGACAGTAGTCGAGGGTACCCGACACTCCCCTATCTACCAACATATCTACATTATATTTTTTAAAATTCATTCGTTATATGTTTAAATATTTTCAAGTCATTACCACCAATATATTCACATATTTTAATTACTTTTGCGAGATTTTGTTCTTTGAAATTTGTGAATAGTTCAGCATTAAAACAGAAAATCTAAATGATATTTTATTTGTATCCATATTTTATTTTCTTGTTGTAGAAGAATTGCAATTTTAATTCTGCGTACACTTTTTTCCGAATTTTCAAAATTATTCTCATTTTAGAATTAATGTGATGTGCAGCAATAAGTATAATTATATTTATTATTACAGAGACAGAAACGTTGGTTTTTGAAGTGAAGAAAATTCTGGAAACAAAGAAGAGTAAATCCTATAAAGAAAGATTCTTTCGAGATTACAACGGGATTATGGCAAGAAATGAACGACAATGAAGTAATCCAAAAGCTGAAAAAGCATCTTAAAGAGAATATAAGAACTAAAACAGCAAAGATTATTTTTTTGCAGTTGCAATTTTTATTTATTTATTTTATTAGACAAAGATAAATCATCACTATAACTAGTTGAACAGAAAATTAAAAATAATTTAAAATTGTATAATTAAAATTTAAATAATTTTAATCCTAAAACTGCTACTTGTTAAAAAATAAGTATTTTGTTGATTTGTTGTATTTGATTGAAAAAAAATACTTAAAATTAAAGTGTTAACTTAAAAGTAAAATTTTTGTTTAAGTTATACTTGCACAGTTTGAAATACCATAGCCTTATGACTTCTAGTGATTTAGTTTAGAAAGCTCCGAAATATGTAATATATTGTAATATTTCAAACAAATTATCTATAACTATATTTATTAATTTTGTAACTTCAACGTAACTAGTCATAACTTATTATTTATACCGTTAAATTATTCAGAGAATTTCTTAAAAAAGTTTAACAAAACAGTTTATGTTTTTTTTCTTTTTAAAAAAAGTCTCCTTAGCACATATCTTATGCTAATAAACATTAAAATATAATTTTTTTGAAATCGTAATTTTAATAATTTATGTAATGCTGTTGCGAATACGCACATTAAATTTATAAAGTCTTTTTTATTATAAACAAGATTTTTGAGTCTTTTAAATTCTTTTTCTTTTGTTCACATAACACACAAATTAAACATTTAACTTAAACCTTCAAGTTTTTGTTTGAAATTTAAATACCATATTTCAAATATCAAATCATTAATCTTGCTTTGCTTAAAATCCAGAACTTCAATTTGCTGCATTTAACAGTATCATAGTGGTAAAAGAGAAATAAGATTAATATAAAAGAAAAGCATTTTTTTCAAAAATTAATCTAAATTGTGGGTGACTTATTGTGTAATACAAAGACTATTATGTGTCTAGCAAATTTTACTGCAACTTTATTTTGAATTTAATGCATAATATTTTATAATAAATAATTACTGATCGAATTTGCTAATCATGACTTAAATATTAATTTATTTTTAAAAACTATTAAACTTTAATTGGTTTTTAAAAACACAGTCTGGAATAATTGTTATTTTGGAATGAAGTTATTAATTTTTCTATTAATTGTTTTAAATTTAAATTATGGTTCTTTGAGCATTTATTTATTTTTTTTAATCTTTTCAGAAACTTCTGGAAACAAGAAGCGATCATCGATTATTAAAAGTAGCATTTACACTAATCTTGTATTTGTTGCATGGTTGAATGTCTGGTATTGCTGTTCAAAAGATATTTATTTGCATATATCCCACTAAAAGATTAAATGTCCTCATGTTCAAAGGTAAAAAGTTTAATTTGAAAAAAGATGTAAAAATTTCCAAATTGTTTTCAAGGTTGTATAATCTAAGTTTTCCCAAACCGTGAATATATATTAAAGAGATTCCACTATAACGTCAGAGATCGTCAAAAGTGCAAACCTAAATGTTCTGTGATTAAATCGCAGCAAAATAGTACCGCTTTTGCTTTTTTATAAAGAGCGTACTGAGGCAAAAAGTTTAATGTGTCTTTTATAGTTTTTTCCTTATAATTTGTTTTCCTTTTTTTCTATAATTTTTCTGGTTATTTTCTTTTTGTCCTGTTCTTTATTTTTTTTTCAATTGAATTTACAATATCCTATGTAAAATGTTTGGTATTTATTTAAAAATTTTATAATTTACTTGAAAGAGTTTTCGATGATTTTTGAAAGATTTGAAATGATTGAAAGATTTCCTTTTATCAATCTCATATGTTTAAGAAAACAAAAATAATTTTCCGTTACTACTAAAAGAAAATTATGATTTCATTTCAAAACTTTTACTATTATATTGTAGAATATAATGCATAGACATGTGTCACATTCACCTTTTATAGTTTTAAATTAGTAGGTGAATAAATACGTATAAGTATTGTTTCTTATATTTACTGCATCCAGTCTTTTAGATTATTTATTTATATAAGTTTTAATTTAAACAGAAAGGAAATTAACAGGATTTTATATAAATAACCGAAGCACTAAATTGCTTGCTCTTCAAATTCATAGTTTATACCGAACATTCCATTTAAAATAAATATCAAGTTCTATCAAAATTAAGGCAAAGCGAAACCATAGAAAATGCGTTTCTTTGACGTCACAGTGGTATATTCTTAACACTAGTAAATGGTTTAATTTCTGTGTTAAGCAATTAATAAAACTAGGATTGACATTTATGTATTTGTAATATTTTTCATTCTTGTTAATTGCATTATACTTTATCGCACAGATTTCACTGTATAGTATTTTATTGAATAACAATGTATTAAACTGCATTATCTCCTCCTATTGCTTTGTATCGTATGTCATATATTGTTCAGTGTCTAAAACATTTATTACTTACTGTTTATAAATGAAAGCATAAGATAACATCGACATTGTTTTGTTTATTATTTAACATTTTATTTCTCATCGGGATGTGTTTTGGCGATATTCAGCAAACAGCAAAATGAGAGTTTTTAAACTTATACATTTTTATTGTGATTTTAATTTTGATCATTCAAATTTTAAAGAAAACATTGGTCAGCACCAAGAAGTAGTGATATCGTTACATTTATGTAATAATTTTGTGTCCCTTGCTTGAAATTACTTTCATTGACCTTTATACTTTTCATATAAACTTTTAACTTGTAATTTATTTATTTTTTATTCTGAACTATTATTCTGAGTATCTGACACATGCGATTTTCATTTTCTAGTTATTTTAAGAAACTCCACAAATTTTTAATCATGTCAACACACCTCAGTAGTTTGTAGTGATATTAAGATATTATGATTTTATGACTCTTTTATTTTAATTATGATTTTAAGACTCTTATGATTTTGAGATTCATGATTATGGGACACAGTTATGATTTTAAGACTCTAATTTAAGCTTTATTTTTTAAAAATTGTAGTCTATAAAATATGATATAAGATTTCTTCGTTTCAAACTAGGATTTATGTTTATGGCAAAATTTAAAACAGCAGTTAATAAATTCTAATGTACCTTATTAAGAAGTTCATCCTCTATTTTTATTTAATTATATATTAATATATGTACATATATATATATATATATATATACATATACATATNCTCTTTTCTTTTTTGTCTTTTCTATGTAATATATATATATATATATATATATATATATATATATAATATTTTTAATACTAGTAAATGGTTTATGTTCTGCGTCTAATAATTGTGAGAAACAAGAAAGGAGTTCAGTTTTTGAGTTGTTTTTAATTGATTGCATTATAAAGTGTTGCATGGTATTTTCATACGTATTATTGTATTGTACTTTATTGTATTGTATTGTAATTTTGCATATATTATTGTCCATCGTTTTTCATGTATTGTACAACGTATAAAACATTTATTTCTGTATTGTAAAAATATTGAAAGCATAAGATAAAAACTTTATTTTGTTTACTATTCTACTATTATTTTAATTTTAAAGTGATTTCCGAAGTTACTTCGAAAACTGGGAATTATGAATTTAGTTAACTTTTTTTTAATTTAAAAATTAATTGCACCAGGTAACAGTTATTTTGCAAATTTCGATGTAATAAACTTTTTTTTATATTTTTAATCTTTATTTTATTACAATTACAAATTATTACTTTGAGAATCCAGAATAATTTTTTTCACTTGCGATGTTATTGATTTGTTATTATAATGTTTCTATAGATCTGAGATTTTATCAACAAAAAAAAACCTGCTACCAAAGCAGAAAATACTAAAACTTTATTGGGGTAATTAAACAGTGTTTTACTATTGATTTTAAATTTTTGTTATAATAGTATAATCTAATTTTGTTAAAAATTTCTTGCGTGAGATCTGTTATTACATTTTTAGCTAGGATTCAATTTCATTTTTAATAGAATTTTGAACATCAAGTAATTATCTTAGTTGTTGTGTCATAATAAAAAAAATTTTTATTTTCAACTGGTATTATTTTGCTTCCTTACAAAAGTTGTGAGTGCAAGACTTTCTAAAGTTTTATAAAGAAAATCCAATTATAAATGCTTGATTAATATTGTAAGACATTTCATTTAAATAAGTTTCAGTAATTTTATAACAATTGAAGTGTTAATCAAACATCTCAAAGTTATAATTTTATAAATACTGTTAAGTTTTGTTAAAAGCAATAACTTTTATTATTTTCTATATTGAAAATTCTTTAATTACGTATTGTGGCATCTAAACTGCTTTGAAAAAAATTAAGACATAAAATTGGAAACTCAGATATTCCGCTTTTTCGAATTGCTTTGAATTGAAATCAAAAAAAGAAATAAAATTTGATTTAAAATATAAAACAGTACTTTCCGAAATGAATAGTTGTAATGCTATAAGACAGTTTCATTGAGAAAATCTTATTTTTTTTTATAAGAAGTATTGATTCAAAATTTAGTTCAGCATAGTAAGTTCAAAATTTAAACCTTAAGTCTGACAGATTCCTATAAAAAAAGCAGTTTTAAAACCATTTTAACTACATGCTATAAAATATTAATAAGGAAAGGACTGTAAATTTTGGATTTCGCTTATAATTAATCGTAAATTTATCATGGAACTTTTAAATGTAATAACTTTAAAAAACCTTGTTTCCCCTTTTACATTTTATATTTTCTTTCAGGATAACGTTACTTATTTTTCAANTATACATATAACAGCTCATAAAACGGTTTCATATTATCTCAATTGTTTCTTTCTTTTGAAATCTACTACAGCTGATGGCAATTTTGATACATTTAAAAAATTTTGTAATTATAAGTAATATTAAAAATTTTCTCGATTGCATAAAAAGTGAATGCATTTTTTTTAATTTAAGCATTTCTAGATTTTTAGCATATATTCCAAAAATGGCTTTTTTAGTTTTAAACCATTTTTAGTACATCAAAAGTAAATGTCAGATTTTAGGTAACATAAATTTTCTTTATAATAAGCTCATTTGATTACAGATAAGGATTTTAATTAATTTCAATTACTTAGTTAGTTTCATATGTCTTTTAATTAAATAAAAAAAACTAAATTTCTTTTCCAGTAAATTCTTTTAACATTACATTTTTAACTACCGATGATGTAGACGTTCGTTTGAGTGACTATATTGTTTGTAATAAGTCTAAATTAAAATCATTAGTTGAGGACAAATATATTTGTTGATAATTTAATACATTTCACTTATTTTTTTATATTGTTTTCATTATTACTGATACATAGCTTTTATTATTACTTAGCAAAACTCCACGTTAAAAAAAGAACTGAACATTTGCTCACATGGATTTTATATATTAACTTTCTTTGCCTCGTTTTGCTCAAATTATAAGGTACAGTTGCATTAAAAAATGTGTACATAAGCTTTATCTATCAAAAAGTTTCACGCAGCTTTATCATAACATGCAATTTTCAGATTTCTAACTACTGACGCTCGTTATTTTCAATCGATAGTTATAAAAAATATTATTCTCCTTTCTAATTTATTTTTCTTTTCTTTTCTTTTCCCTTAATGCTCTGTATATGTTTGTAGTTTCTGTAAAAGCATATTTTCTAAAAATGTTTAGTAAAGCACTGAGATTTTGAAGTTATATTTAAGTGTATATTTAGTATTATATCTGTGATAATGTAAATAAAATTGTAATTTATAAACATAACTATTCTCCAGCTAAATGAAAAATGTCGGAGATCAATGTTTGTTTAATCATGAAATTGTACATAAAAACTTCCCGGAATTAATTATAAATAATCATGTGTAAATAGATTTTTATTCTCCCAAATATTAAGTGCTTTCTCGTACTTGTGGCTCTCAAAATAGCTGCATTTGCATTTGTCAATTTGATGAAATAAAATTAAATACTACACAAAAAATTTGTAATTTATATAAAGAAAAATAAATTGCAATTTTGCATAATTATGGCATTTTAGTGGTAATTCAATCAAAAGTAACATGGTGCGCAAAAATCTCTTAAGTATAATGTCATATTTTCACCAATATTTAAACCAAAAATTGACACTATAGCAAAGAAAAATAATTTATAGCTTTATATAATGACCATAGCATTTTAGTAAATAAACAAAAAAATTTCACTGTGTAATGGAAGTCTCAAAATTTATATTTAAGCCAAAAATTCATTATAAACAATTAAAATATAAATAAAATATTTAAGAATTAGTTTAATTAGAAATATAAATTTATTAAACATCCTCGAAATATTGCATTCAGCAAAATTTTTTGATAGCCACAACACACTATAGTAACGTCAGTTTAATACCTATTAGTTTCAAATAGTTAATTTTAATCCTTTTATGTTAAAGTCTATTTTTTATACATGTGTTGAATACTGTATATAAAATATACCCATTTAAAATGAGTGCTTTTAAGTCCTTGCCGAAAAGAGTAGGCAATTGCATCAAAGCTCTATGCAAATGAAAATGGTTAGACCATAATTATATTATCTATGCAAATAAGAATGATAGAATTCGTTTCATTTTAAAAAAACACTAAGCAATAAGGTTTCTGCTGGATCAATTCAAATAAACATTTTGAATATCCAGGGTCACTTATGTGTTAGGTAGTTGTTATATTATATGCTTTTTGCTAATTAGAAAAATATATATTAAAATTATTCCTTATTTGTGTTCAAAAGATATTCCTTTTACTTGTTTATCTAGTTTTTGTTTCATTTTTTCTAAATTTAAAAATTCAGAAATGAAGAGTATTATATACATTTATTATTAAAATGCATAAAATATTAAAAAAAAAATTCAAAAACTACATAAAAAAATCTCTTTCTCCCTACCCAAAAAATTTGTTTCTTTAATTATTTGTAGGTATTTAATAATAAAATTGAAATTTTCATATTTATTAAGAAAAATTAAATTTTATTAAATTTCGGTTAGTGTTTTATTTTTTTGAAATTATTTACATTTATTTAAATCCATTGTTTATATAGAGTGAATGTATTTAATCGCTTTATGAGCTAAAGAAATTTAGAGTTCTGAATTTTTCTGATTCGATACAACAAAATAAATATATATAACAGATAAAAACTTTATTTTGTTNATTTAAGCAAATGATAAAATTCTCATATGCAATCTTAGACATTGATTTTAAATTGTAATACAAATGCGTTGGTTTCGTTAAATTGAATTTAATTTATTTTGTTGTATCGAATCAGAAAAATTAGAGCACCTACCCAATATTTTTTTTTAGATTTTATTTATAATGACATTAAATCAACGTTTTTACTCCATTTAAATATTTTTGCTTGTCTTACAAAAATATTTCAAAGCATTTTAGATCCA